GGGGCCGCATCCGGCCCCCGGGCCGCAGGTTGCCTACCCCTGATCTGAGTGTTTGCAACAACAACAATCAGACTGAGCCACCCATTGTGAAGCATTTTTGCAATCCTGTCATCCTCTATTTAACTGTGCTCCAGATTGTAGCATGTTTACTTCAGCCCAAAGTGAAAACTGACTGAGAGTGAAAACTGACTGAGGTTCTATTTGCACTTCTACATTTCCATAAGGATTTGCATTTTGTGGTGAAGTGAATGCCCCAGGAATTGGTATCAATAGATGTTAACTTGAGTTGAATTTTCTGTGAAAACTGGTCAGTTCTCACAAACATGAGAGGTTCTCAGAAGCCTTCACCATTCTTGATGCCCTCCAAGGAATACTCTGTTTTGGAATAACTCTGATCATCTGTGATATATGGGAGGAGAACCCTCATATCATTTTACCTGTGAGCATGCCAGGAAGCCTTACATTCAGAATGCTGTCTTGCTTGCTTGAGCACTGCAGCAGAACCACATTCCTTCAGACCTATCTCTGGGGTTTTGCTTTTGCAGCCTTTTAAATGAAGGAGAAAGGGAAAGAACATAATGTAATGGAGGGAGGGGTTCTTTTTCTCCTCATTTTGGCCACAGGTACTACCTGTCCAATATCTGGAAATGACAAGAAGGAGTTCAAAGCAATTGCCAAAAGTGTGCTAGATAACAATGACTACAGTAAATATGGTGAAAATGCTTTTTTTATTCCCCAAACCTCTGTGCTTTTAAAAAAAACGGCTTTGTAAATTTGACTAATGCCAAATGGAATTAGAATGATATAATGATATACCAGATGGATAGAATATCAGAACAGGACTGAGGAAGCATGGGTTCAATTCTTTACTCTGCCAAAAATCTCACTAAAATGGGATCACCTAAACGGCAGTGGTGGTGGTGGTGAATTATGAAGTCCTTGGAGGAAAGATGTGATAGAAATATAATGAATAAATGCAATCAGCACCTGCATCCTTCCATAAAAAAATCTGGACCAAATAAGGGTTGACAAGTTGCGGTCCTCCTGATGTTGTTGGACAGCAGTTCCCAGTATCCCCCACCATTGGCTAATCTGATTAGGGCCACTAGGAGTTGCAGTTGCTACAACATCTGAAGGGCCACAACTTGCCTACACCTTGGCTATATCCTATGTTCATCATGCATAGACTGGCCCCCTTGAATGAATGTAATTTATTAGTCACAATCAGCAGAAGTCCCATTCATTGCAATGGGTCAGCTCTAGATAGGACCAACACTGGATTTAGCCAATATGAGCTTATATATTTGGATGTGCTTACAATTAGCTATACAAAATTATCCATACTATTAACTTTAGCCATTAGAATAATGCAGAGAACAAATACTTTCAAAATGGTATCGTATATATTAATAATGAGCTCATTATCTGACAGCTGATCCTTATGCAGGAAAATGATCCCACCCCACACATGAGAGGAGCTATCTGCAGGCTGGTGGGATTCCTAATGTTTGCTGAGGCAGAGGAAAAAAGGAAGAAGTATCCTGTAAGAAGTGTCAGTGTGGTATAGTGGCTTGAGCGTTGAACTACGACTCTGGAGATCAGGGTTCGATTTCCTGCTCGGCCATGCAAACCCACTGGGTGACCCTGGGCAAGTCACACACTCTCGGCCCCAGAACACCCCATGATAGATTTGTCTTAGGGTTGCCATAAGTCAGAAACAACTTGAAAGCACACAACAACAACAATCCTGTAAGAAGGAGTGGAATATACTCTAAGAGTGCAGGGGCTGGCTGGCTGGCTGACACATTAAACAGAAATACTCCATGTTGTGCCAGTTTGTTGTAGGCATTCTTTGTTATTTACACATTATTTATGACAATAAAAAAAAATAAGATTGCATCATACCATGCAAATATTGTTTTAGTTTTCTAAAAAATAATTCTTAATATCAATTGTTTACAAAGCAACATATGTTAGCTGGCGTTAGCAACAGGAAGTATAGTTGCAACACCTCAAATGGCTGCCAATCTGTTTCCAGACACAATTCAAAGTGCTGGTTATGATCTACAAAGCCCTATATGGCTCAGATTCATACATGATAGACCATATTTTCTCATATGAACATGCCTGTGATTTACTATGTAAATGTAAATGCTGCCAACTTCTTGTTTCAGTGAGTCTCAAAGGTGCTACAAGATCTCCCTACATACTGATCTACAGACTAACATGGCTATACCTTTGAATTTTGCCTGTAATTTGTGATCTTTTGAGGAGGCCCTTCTTTATGTTCCACCAACTGCACAGGCACATCTTGAAGGAACATAGGCAAGGGACTTCTTGGTGGCTGCTCCCAGACTCTGGAAAACTCTTCCTAAAGAGGTTAGGCTGGTGCCCCCCTCTGCTATCCTTTCATAGCCAAGTGAAGAACATTTTTGTTTCAGCAGGTCTTTGAGGGTTGATTACTTTGGAGGGAGGAAGGGTCTGTCATAATTTGCTGTCCTGTTTATTTGTTATTTTCTTTTTAATGGTCATGTTTTTTAAATGGTTTTAACTGTACAGTTATCCCATCATTTTCACAGATTTCAAGTCTGCAACCCTCACTTATTAGCGAGGGACGAACACAGGAGCACAAAATGAGGCCCCTGATTGCCCCTGCAGACATGCGCCTCCATTCAAGCCAATAGGGCCTGCATATTTGTGTTTCTCATTTTTTGTGGGGGTGTGTGTGTCCAGAAGAGATCCCCCGCAAAAAAGGAGGGGCGACCGTATTGTTAGTTTAATTATATTTTAAGTTTTTTTATGATGTGAATTTTTAAACTCTTGTCTGTTTCAACTTTTGTAAGCTACTTTGTGTCCTGAATTGAGAATAAAAATGTGTTGGGGAGGATGATAAAGCAGTTACTTTCTTCAAAAGTCAGGTATCTCTTTAAAAAGGGAAATAAGGACCTATCACAATATGCTAATTGCATTAGTACTTATCACATTTGCTAGGGCAAAAAGAACTGTTCTGTTTCAGATAAATGCTGGAATATGTGCTACATCCCCTCCCCCCCAGTAGAGAGGAATGAAGCTTCAAGGGAAGCTGCTTTGGACCTTCTCCAGAAATACGAAATAAATAAAAATAAATAAAGTTGTATTCACTATTTGAAAAAAATACACAGAATGATTTGCCTTAGGGATGACTGTTGTTAACTGCCCTTGAGTTGATAGACTCATGGTGATGAGATATCTCTAAGACCCTCTGTCCTCCACTGCTCTGCTTAATTCCTGCAACCCCTTAATACCCGTGACCTCCTTAATAGAGTTCGTCCATTTAGCATGTGGCCTTCCTCTCTTCCTACTTCCATTGACCTTTCCCAGTATTATTGTCTTTTCCAATGAGTCCTCGCTTCTCATGATGTGTCCAAAGTACGACAGACTCAGTTTGTTCATCTTGGCTTCCAGGGAGGTTTCTGGCTTGATCTGCTCTAGGACCCATTTGTTTGTCATTTTGGCTGTCCAAAGGAACCTCAGCACTCTTCTCCAGCACCACATTATCTCAAATGCATTAATTTTCTTCCTATCGTTTTTCTTAACTATCCAGCTCTCACATCCATACATGGCAATATGGAATACAATGGCTTGTATGATGCTAACTTTTGTGCAGAGTGGTATATCTTTGCATTTTAGAATCTTTTCTAGTTCCTTCATAGCCACCCTCCCCATTCTTGATCTTTTTCTGATTTCCTGGCTACATTCCCCGTTTCTATCAACATTCGATCCAAGGTATGAGAATTCTTTTATTATTTCTATATCTTCATTGTCCAGATTGAACTTGTGAAGGTCCTTGGTTGTTATTACTCTTATTTTCTTTATGTTCAACATTAAGCCTGCCTTTGCACTTTCTTCATTGATCTTCCTTAGTAGGTGTTTGAGGTCTATGAAGTTTTCTGCTAGTATTATGGTGTCATCTGGATATCTCAGATTGCTGATATTCCTTCCTCCTATTTTCGCTCCTCCTTCTTCTGTGTCCAAGCCTGTTTTTCTTATAACGTGTTCGTATTCAATTTGAACAGATAGGGCGAAAGGATGCAGCCTTGTCTGACCTCTTTGCCAATGGGGA